AGAGGGAGAAGCAGGCTTCCTGCTGAGCAGGGAGCCAGATGCGGGGCTCGATCCCAGGACGCTGGGATCATGACCTGAGCCGTAGGCAGATGCTTACCGACTGAGCCACCCAGGCGTCCCTGGTCTTTTTCTTTCTTATTAAATTTTCCATATATTTGGTCCTTCATCATTTTTTTTTAATAGACTTCATTCTTCAGAGCAGTTTTAGTTCACAGCAATATTGAGCAGAAGGTATAGAGATTTCCCAATACCCCCTGTTACCCACATATGCATAGCCTCCCTCATAATCAATACCCCCCCACCAGAGTGGTATAATTATTATAACTGATGAACCGACAGTGGTACATCATGAACACCCAAAGCCTATAGTTTACATTAGGGTTCCAGTCAGTACTGACAATATATAATATTGTCTGTGAATTGCAAATAATTTGTATAATATTTGCTGAAAGGGGAAAACAAAATGCTCAAGCAGAAAAATTACAGAAAAACGAACACATCTATTAAAATGCTGGCACACTGAGCTAAAATGGTAATTCTTTCAAAGACTTTCAACAAACCTTCATTAATGTCTTCCTTACCTTGTCACAGCAATTGCATCTTCCAGAAAAAACTGATCAACAGGAAATGTGCGACCTAGAAGAACAAGAAAATAAAAGAGAAAAGCCTCAGAATACCTGTTCAACTATCTTGAAATAAATAGTTGGCATATGTAAAATTCTCTTAAAACAAAGCCTGGCACAATAAGAGATGGTTTGTTCTGTGGTCTTAAAAATATCAAAAAAGAAAAACAAAAGGTTGGGCGCCTGGGTGGCTAAGCTGGTTAAGTGTCTGCCTTCAGCTCAGGTCATGATCCCAAGGTCCTGGGATCAAGCTCTGCATCAGGCTCCCTGCTCCACGGGAAGCCTGCTTCTCCCTCTCCCACTCCCCCTACTTGTGTTCCCTCTCTTGCTGTCTCTCTGTCAAATAAATAAATAAAATCTTACAAAAAAAAAAAAGAAAGAAAAACAAAAGCTTCTGATGATTGAAATTAGAAGGGATATAGATTCCAGCTTGTAAAAAAACCCAGAAGTGCATAGGTGGAGAGATGCTCGTTTATAACACTTTTTTTTTAAACCTCTCTTTTTTTTTTAAACCTGTTACACTTTTCTCACCCTCCCCTTCTCTGCCTCAGGGAACTTTGAACCATTCAACAACTAGAAGAAATAGTGTGATTATTCGTCAAAATTGTCCCCAAATCATTCCTTTGGCAACCAATCGCAGAAGGATAGAGCAAAGCCCAAGGTGATAAATTAATCCCACAATGAGACTGTGAAAACACCAGAAGACATAGACTATTCAACTTCACTTTCTCCCAGAGTAGACCAACACCCAGAAAGTTAGCTGCATCCAGCAATGAACCAATATGCTTATACACAGAGACAGCTTCCCTCTTTATGACAGATTACCATTATTAACTCACACTTTGATGTTAAACACAATGGAATGCTAGAAATCCTAATAACCTAGACTTTTTAAAAGAGCACATATAAAACTGAAATCTCTTAGCAAATGGATATAATGTTACTTCTTTATTTATTTCATTTTTTTTTCTTTATTTATTTCATTATATGGTCATAATTTTATTTGTTATAAACGAATCACTTCTCCAGAAAAGATATAAATACCTGTTATTTTATATCTCAAATAAACTTTAAAAATAATTCTATTTGCTTATCAGAACAATGCATATTTAAGGATGCATTTTAATCACCTGGTATAGTAATAACTGGGCAGGAACTGAAATATTCTGAAAAGAGCTCAGCATTTAAAGTTGCACTCATTAGAATAACTTGAAGAGTTGGTCTCTGCAACACAATGTCCTTCAAGACTAGCAGCAAGAAGTCACTAAAGGAAATAAAAGAAACACCTGAAGATCAAACAAATTCAATACATAAAAATGAATTTACTTTTGATGTATTTTTTTAAAGATTCTATTTATTAATATTAATAAATATTATTTATTTATTTTTCATCCAGGGCAGGCCTAGCTGAAAAGGTATCTTTGAGTAAAGACTTGAAGGAAGTGAGGGAGCTACTGTGAATGTGTGGGAGAATCCCATAACTGGCAGATTTTTTTTTTTTTAAAGGTTTTATTTTATTTATTTATTTGACAGAGAAAGGCAGTGAGAGAGGGAACACAAGCAGGGGGAGTGGGAGAGGGAGAAGCAGGCTTCCCACTGAGCAGGGAGCCCGATGCAGGGCTCGATCCCAGGACCCTGGGATCACGACCTGAGCTGAAGGCAGATGCTTAATGACTGAGCCACCCAGGCGCCCCAACTGGCAGATTAATAACATGTGCAAAGGACCCGAGGTACATACTTCAAGGACAGGAAGGAGGACAATGTGGCTAGAGCGACTGAATAAGGGGAGAGCAGCAGGAGATGAGCAGTGGTGATGCAGATCATGTCACGTAGGGCCTAACTTGTTGGTGAGGACTTTAATAAGTCATCAGAGGATGATGAGCAGAAGAATGGCACAGTAAGATTTATATTTGAATAGAACTGTTGGTCTGCTCTATTGAGAATAGACTGCAAGGGGACGGGCTGAAGCAGGGAGACCAGTGAGGATACGGCTTTTCTATAGCACATATTATTCTACAACTTGGGTTTTTTTCACTACATCTTAGAGATGTTTTCATGTCAGTATCTAAAGCTCTACTTTATTCCTTTTATCTGTCTCACGTTATTCCATAGAATGGGTGATTTTGTAGTAGTTAACCACTTTTTGGTTGATGGACATTTAAGTAGTTTCCATTGTTTTACTATTATAAACAATGCAGTCATGAAAATCTTTGTATATTCTTCATTATGTACATGTAGATATCAAGAAGTAGAATTACCAAATGCAATGATAGATCCTGTTAGTATTTTGATTGGTACTACACTGATTTTAGTTTATTTGGGGGATATCTTTTTAATTTTAAGTCTTCACATCTAGGATCATGACACATCTTTTTATGAGATTTATAGTTTTTTTTTTTTACATAAGTCTTACATTCATTGCTCAAAATACATGAAAAGTTGATCCCAGGGTCCTGGGATTGAGTTCCGTGGCAGGCTCCCTGCTCAATAGGGAGCCTGCTTCTCCCTCTGCCTGCCGCTCCCCCTGCTTGTGTGCTCTCTCTCTGACAAATAAATAAATAAAATCTTAAAAAAAAAAAAAGGGGGGGACTGGGTGGCTCAGTCGGTTAAGCATCTGCCTTCAGCTCAGGTTATGATCCCAGGGTCCTGGGATCAAGTTCTGAGTTAGGCTCCCTGCTCAGGGGGGAGTCTGTTTCTTCCTCTGCCTGCCCCTCCCCCTGCTTCTCCTCTCTCTCTCTCTCTCTCTCTCTGTGTCAAATAAATAAATAAAACCTTTAAAAAAATTAAAGTTTACTATTGTTGTGTTCTAGGAATTATTTCTTTTTATTTTGATCTATTCTTTTTATATGCAAGTCTGCTTTTCTTTAGTTTCTAATTACTTCATACTTCCTATTTACTAGTGCATCAATGTATTTATTTCTTTGAACAGATAGTCTTCTAGTCATATGTCTTCCCTGTTCAGAGTTTAAAAACTTTTTATCAGCAATAGTTGGAGACTCTTTTCATGTTTGTTTTTTTCCTTTTTAAAATTTTGCTATTAGCTATTTTCTGCTTCTCTGTCAGTCTGCCAACTTTAGACTTTGTTTGTTCTCAAAATATTTATAATAGTATAGTCCTTTTTGGGAAAGGCTCAAATTTTTTACAGGATTGTCTTTTTTTTCCCCATTAGTTTTTTGTTGTCGTCGTTGTTCTAGAAAATGATCCACAAACTATGACAAACTATGATTAATGCCATCTATTTACTTGGTCCTTCCTTTTAAAATATTGAAGATTTTGATTTTATATCCCAACCTTTAATGACTTCTAATTCCATTAAAATAAATTCTAAATGTTTTATTGTCCAGGGTATACAAGGCCCTGGAAGATCTGGCTCCTGCCTTTTCTACCTGCCACTTTTCCCCTTGTTTATTACAACCAGCTGCACAGGCCTTCCTCCACTTTCTGGGCTCATGATGCCCTTTCCCACTGCAGTCTGCGAATGCTGGCCTTGCCTCCACCTGTCACATGGGATGCCTTCTCATACTTCAGATTTTAATTTAATCATCATCTCTTGAGAGATATCAGCTCTGACCATCTCATGGATCCCTCTCCCCAGAACACAGCATCCTATTTATTCCTTCGGAGTACTTACTCCAATTCGTAAGTCTTTATTTATTTGTTCATTATTTGTTTTTCCTACCAGACCATGAGAAAAAGGAGAACTACATATGCTTGTTTCCTATCGTATCCCCAGCAATTAACAGATCATGTGGCACTTAAGACAGTCTCAATAAATGTATGAATGGCTGTCAGGACTGAATGGCTGACCAAATGAACAAAGAAGGAAGCACATACTGACCCATCTATCAACTACAGCACTGGTTACACCTGTTATTCCTACTAAGTACAGTGCCCAGCTCAGCATGAGGCCCAGGAGGGTGTTAAATATCTCCTGGTAGAAGATGTCCATCTAACAGGATGACTCTTCTAGTGATGAACATGTGCTCTCCTAGCATTCCGAGTATTCTAGACCCCATAGATCAGGAAAGCAGTTCCTCTTCTCTAACTTGGGCCTTCTCTGTGGCCTTCCTCTCTAGCTCTATGAAACCGAACTGGAAACAGAACAAAATTATTTCAGCCATGCCTTCATTTTATGTGTGTGGCTATTTTTCAGAAAATCTTTGCTTTACCTTTCTTCTGTCCTCTCATGAACTTCATCAACAATGATATGGGTGACTCCTTGGAGAGCTGTGTCTCCTTCCAGCCTTCTCAGCAGCACGCCTGTGGTGCAGTATAACAGTCTGGTGGCTGAGGACTTACACAAAAAAGGGCACAGAAAGCATTCATGGAATTTTTGCAAAAAGGAAACACTTTCAAAGCCAATATGGCAAAGCCATTTTGAACGGATAGGGACAAAGAATCTTGAAAATATCAGCAGTTGCATTTAATATGAAACCACACTAAATGCATAGTTTCTTGCTGGCAACAACAGTAAAAGCTTTTCTACTTCATATCAAAATTTTAAGTTTAAGACTCATAAAAAGCATTAAAAAATTATTATAAAACATAAAAACAACAGCGAGTGATGAACTCAATTCTGCATTTGTCCATTCCTTATTTGGTTAAATGGATTAAGTCCCAGGTTTAAGAGTAAAACAGCACTTACTAGATCATTTCTGCCAAGGAAGAATAAAAGGTCTTTATAGAGGAAATGAAGTATACACAAATAAGAATTCTTATACCAAAATATTTCTAAAAGGTCTTCAGCCGTACTGAAGTATGCATCCCAACTTGCCCATGAGTCGCTAGAATCCAAGAACTCTTTATACTTGAAAAACAAAATTTCTGTTACCAGGAAATAAGCAGAGTATACAAACCTTGACACTTTCTAGCCGGATCTGGTACCCCACAGTCAGACCCACTCTTTCTGTCCTTTCTTTAGCAACACGTTCAGCAACAGATATTGCTGAGATTCGTCGGGGTTGGGTACAGATGATGTTAGCCACTTTCTCAGGTGGTCCATTCAGAGAATCATCCAGAATAAACTGAGGAATCTGTGTAGTTTTCCCACATCTGTATGTCAAAACAAATAAGTCCTAAAATGAGAGTTTTCAAGTGCTAGTTAACAAAAAAAGGAACCATGTGCAATGAGGGAAGTGAGAAAGCCAATTATAATAAAACTTGTTCAGCTTCCTTTATCTTCTAAACTGACCTACTGACTTGTTACCTATAGCTCATAACTGCTAGGAATTTGCACTTGGAGTAACAGGACACTCATATAATAGTTTAGTATCATTTATAAAATTGGGACAATTGAGCAGACATTAGATCAAGTTCTGTAAATACCTCTAGGAATATGAACTCTGTATTTGAATCCTAAAGAAATGGGAGTATTCTTTTATGATTTTATGTATTATCTTACTGATTTGGCTATAAGTGGACTGAGGTGAAAAAGATAAGAAACTGGAAGATCTCCAATTACTACTGTATCAGTGAGTCTGGGCACAAATATAATTATTAGGTTGAATAACTTTGAATATAGAACTAAATTAAGCCTAGAACCTGTCCTTGTTAAATAAGTTTGGATAACATATGAAAAGTGTGAAACAGGAAAGATAATATGCCCTAAGTTGTTCTTAAAAGAACAAATAAAAGCTGTAAGGAAATCAGAATAAATTTAGAAGAGGAAAATGTCCAAGTTAAATGTTCTGGAGGGGTGCCTGAGTGGCTCAGTTGGTTAAACAGCTGGCTCTTGATTTCAGCTCAGGTCATGATCTCAGGGTCCTGGGATTGAGGCCCCCCCATCGGGCTCCATGCTCAGTGGGGAGGCATCAGCTTGCGAATTCTCTCTCACTCTCCCTCTGCCCCTCCCCCAGCTTGCATGCACACATGTGCTCTCTCTCTCTCAAATAAATCTTTTTTTTTTAAGATTTTACTTATTTATTTGTCAGAGAGAGAGAGCACACAAGCAGGGGGAGCAGCAGGCTGAGGGAGAAGCAGGCTCATGACCTGAGCCAAAGGCAGATGTTTGACTGAGCCACCCAGGTGTCCCAATCTTTTAAAATAAATAAATAAATAAATAAATTTATGTATGTTCTGGAACTATCCTTTACATAAAAAAAATGGGCCTGTTAAAAGCGTTCAGTAAGGGGCACCTGGGTGGTGTAGTCAGTTAAGTGTCTGACTCTTGGTTTCAGTTCAGGTACTTATCTCAGGATTGTGAGATCGAGCCCCATTTTGGGCTCTGGGTTTAAGATGTTCTCTCCTCCCCCTCTGCCCCTCCTACTGTGTGCTCACATGCTTTCTCTCTCTCAAATAAATATTTTTTAAAAAAAAGTCTTACCAAAAAAAAGTATTCAGTTAGACCTTTTGCCTTAAAATTGTCTCAAGGCAGGGGCCTCTGGGTGGCTCAGTCGTTAAGCATCTGCCTTCAGCTCAGGTCATGGTCCCAGGGTCCTGGGATCGAGCCCCACATCGGGCTCCCTGCTCGGCGGGAAGCCTGCTTCTCCCTCCCTCTCCCACTCCTCCTGCTTGTGTTCCCTCTCTCACTGTGTCTCTCTCTGTCAAATAAATAAAATCTTTAAAAAAAACTGTCTCATGGCAGAGGAGTACAATGTCTGTAAATTCCTGGATGGATTTCTGAGTTTTGTTTTTGTTTTTTTTTGTAATTTAGGTCTGTTGGCTGCAGATACACAATATTATGTTCTGTGAAATATTATTTCGTATCTGACCAGAAAAACCACAAATAATAACAGCTACTAGTTTTTTACAAGTAGAACTGGTTATGGTAACCAAGGTACATACCATATTCATGGATGAAAGCTGCATTACAAATAAATTGCACTCTTACCCAGTCATACCACTTATAACAAGCACTTGGTGCTCACTCAACAACTTAAGAATGGTTTCTCTTTCTTCCCAAGCAGGGAGTGATTGTCTTTCTTGCAGAATTGACTGGAACTGTCTGGAAGCCTAATAACATAAAAGATAAGGTATCAGTTAGGTACTTTCAATCATCTTTCACAAAGCTGTGAGTGTTGAATCCGATAGCTTGACCCACCCTTTCTGCTCTTTCTTTAACAATTTGCTCAGAGACAGAAATTGTAGATTTGTTAGGATTGGATGCTGATGACTTCAGTCAGAAGGCTGCTCAGAGAATCAGCCAGAACAAGCTGTGAAATCTTTATGGTTTTCCTACATCTGAATAAACTGCAAGATCTTATGAGAGAAATGAGCCGTCCTGCTTAGCACCATCTAGCTCTTCCTAGCAGGAGTCTCTGCATCAGCACTATCCAACAGAACTTTCCACGTTAATGGAAATGTTTTTTAGCATTGACCAATGTAACAACCTCTGGCTGCATATGGCAAGTGAGTACTTGAAATGTGGCCAGTGCTACTGAGGAACTGAATTTTAATTTTATTTAAGTTTAATTAATTTAAATGTAAATAGCCACATGTGGCTAGGGGCTACCACATTGGACAGTGTAGTTCTATACCGTATCAGATTTTTACTAAAGTCAGTAACAGTAAGAGCACTCATGAAAGGGTTCTTTTTGGCCAGGCATCACATATATGTAACTCAGTCCGACATCCAATGGCCAATAAACATTGTAGTATATGCTAAAACTAAGGAGGTATTTTTTGGTTTTTTTTTTTTAGAAAAGTATCCAAGGTATATTTCTTATTTTTTTTTAATTTTATTATGTTAGTCACCATACATCATTAGTTTTTGATGTAGTATTCCATGATTCATTGTTAAAGATGTATTTTTGAATAAGAAATTTATAATAACACATCATTTTTCTGCATATTATTTTATCATATAAATTTATTACCTCTGAACACAAACTGATCAAATTGAATGTGGAATTTTTTGTTTCTACCGTCTTACTATTTAATTATGGTGTCAATTTCTATTCACTTTGACATTCTACAGGTATTGCACTCTAATATGCAATAGTGTTATACTGTGTCAAAAATCAGAATCTGAACTTCACAATTAGAAGAGCTGTTAGACACATCCCTAATCCAATCCCCAAAATGGTTAAGCAACCTTTTGTTCTACACCCAACTCTGCCCTAAATGTTCACTCATAGGTTCTTTTAAAATAATCTTCTTGTGAATGGGATAAAAACAGCATGGACTTTAGGAACAGAGAATTAACTTGAATCCCTGTTGCCACCTACTAGCTATGTGACCTTGGGTAAGTTATTTATCCTGTGATTCTCTGAAATGGGGTAAGGGTCCCTCCTTATCCTTCTCCTTTCTACACTATTTTTTTCTAATGTAAATCAGTTTTAATTTTCATTTCACTTATCAGATTGTCTAGCAGAGTACGAAAGCCACATGATTCTGAGAATATTTGATATATATGCACGTGTTTCATTTTCACCAGCCATTGGATTTTCCAAAACTATCTACAACATGCACCCAAGTTTGCTGTGGCATGCAGAAAATTTGACCACTCAGAGTTAAAGAGAACCAAAAGTAAACTAGGGAAGGTAGCCCAGGCTTCCTAATTCCTAATCCGTTCACCCGTACATTAGGGAGGCAATGCTAGCCATTCTCTCAGAATACCCTACCTGTTTTATTCGGAACTGCTTGCAGATTTTAGCATTTTCAGCATGTACTGATTTTGCCTGCCAGTCATATCTTTTGGAAATCTTTTTCTTAAGGTTCACATAGCTTTCATTCTCCACTATAACTGGTGCAGGACCTTCATCCTCATCTGTCTCCTCCTCAGGTTCTGATTCTTTTTCAACTTGAAGGGGATAAAAGGAAACATTTTCGATATGGAGCCCTTTCTTTAGCAAAGGGGGAAAATCACTATCTAATAAAGTAACAACAACAACAAAATCGTAAGATGGAGAAAAAGTTAAAAGCTTGAATAAAGCAGGTTCATTCATTTCAAACAACTACTTCTACTGCTAAAGAACTTAAAATACATCTTCAAATAAACTTTCATCAAGTACAAGTGGCTATTGCTAAACCAAATTAAAAACAAGGAAGAAAAAAATCATGGCACGCCTTGTTAATTCCATAGACTCTTTACATTCAAGGAATTAACTGAAAGTTTCAACTATTTGTAAGTGTTCCCAAAATCTCATGACATAAAACCACCCAGATATCTATCAAATGATAAATCAATAAACAAAATACGGCACGTTCATATAATGGAATATTATTCAGCAATAAAATGAAGTATTGATACATCCTACAATATGAACCTTGAAAACATGATGCGAAGTGAAAGAAGCCAATCACAAAAGCCACATATTGTATGATTCCATTTCTATAAAGTGTACAGAATAGGCAAATGCATAGAGACGGAATGTAGATTCATGGTTGTCAGGGGTTGAGGGAAGGGAGAAATAAGGACTCACCGCTACTAAGTATGGGGTTTCTTTTAGGGTTGATAAAAATGTTCTGGAATTAGATAGTGGTCACGGTTGCACAAATCTGTGAATATACTAAAAACCCACTGAACTGTACACTTTAAAATTAAGGGTGAATTTTATGGTATGTAAATTTTATCTCAATAAAGCTGTTACTTAAAAAAGTCCAGGCCAGGGCGCCTGAGTGGCTCAGTCATTAAGCGTCTGCCTTCGGCTCAGGTCATGATCCCAGGGTCCTGGGATCGAGCCCCGCATCAGGCTCCCTGCTCTGCGGGAAGCCTGCTTCTCCCTCTCCCACTGCCTTTGCTTGTGGTCCCTCTTTTGTTGTGTCTCTCTCTGTCAAATAAATAAATAAAATCTTTAAAAAAAAAAAAAAGTCCAGGCCATACAATTTGTCATTTCTCAAGGAATATATTTGAATCCCACACGTTAGAAACTGCTGTTTGGGAGCAAGTGGCTAGTGAGTGAACCTACCCAACCGTCCACCGGGATATCCCCCATCTCAAAGCAATTTCATTGTTCTCTACTTATTGATGTTTACCTAAGAACTCTTGTGAAATAATAAAAACTTGTTTCTCTCAAAGAAAGATGGCAACAGAGAGAATTCTTTGATGAACTTTGAACAAGGAGTTTAATTGTGGTGTAAGAATCTGTATAGCAAATCTGGATTTCGATACAGCCAGAAACTTGCACCAACATTTCTTTGAGGATTTAGGGATTCATAAAGGTAGCCCTATGCTAATGAACTTTGGGGGTCTAGTGTACTATAGAAAGAGAAATATCTCTAAAAACTCATTTGAAAGTAATTCTGTGTAAAGCATCAGAAGTAAACATGTGAAACGAAATGAATTCAACAAAACAGTTTTTCTAGGAAGATACTTTAAGGTTCTTCCAGCCCCCAACTGCTTGGATAAACTTACACATCGTTACAAACTTTCAATGCAGAGAGCCCAATCATGATGCCAAAACTGGGGCTTAAAGTCAGGCCACAGTTCAGGGGCTTCTCATTCCCTTTTGTCCCTCCCTCATGGACTGAGGAGAATGATTTGCCTAAGGTCACCAGGAGATCCGAGGGCAGCCCTTGGAAACGCTGACTTCCTCAATCCACCATTCTGAACACCCCCTCCACAAAGCCCTCCACACAATCAAGGCCTTACATACCTTCAGGAATTTGATTTGAAGCAAAAGAATTACTTGGAATCACTGGTTTACGACAGACAGGATTATTTATTCTGGTCCCAGAGGATACTGGCAGAAAGTTCACAGGAGGGACACTGTACTTGTGATGGGTATTTGTCAGTAAGTTGACTATTTCTGATTCTTCCTCTAAGAGGGTTATCAAAGAATATACAACAGGTTCTGAAGTTTCTGCAAATGTCAAGGCCTTGCCATAAAGGAACTCAGAAATATGTAAACGACAAGCCAGAGGTAGATTCTCATTGGTGGAATAAAATGCCACAAGCGGAGCTTGGTAAGGGTATTTGTGGTCTTTAGAAAATCGAATTTCAAGTTCATATAAAAAAGAGGCATCTTCATGGACATTAAGATGAGAATCATCTACAATTCTTTCTGCTCTTCCGACAATTTGATTTGGGGGCACTTCATGTTTGAATTTGCATCTTGATCCAAATTTGCAATTTCCTTTGAGGTAAAATTTACAGATTTCAAGTGTAGTGTCCTGTGCATTTTTGGTACTTTCCTTTTGCTTGGATTTGCAGAATTTACTCGTCAAATACTCCAGTTCTAATCCAATGGTCCAGACTCGGTTCTGAATTCTTTCTATGAATTTCTCTCCACAGATGGACTTGAGAGCAAATGCCTCTTCCTGCCGCTGTTCCACACACTCATCCAAGCTTACATGGGCAACTGCCTCAGAGATCTTCATCTTCTCCCCAAATGTCTCTGAAAAACACTGTGTGAGCAGATGTTCTAGTGAAGCCCCCACATCTCCATCACAAATCCTCAGGGCTGCCTGACAGTGTTCAGTGTTGAAGCCATACCTACCGAGTGTGAAACGTGACAAAAAATATTAAGTAGTATCAAATCACAAAAGTGAAATTCACTTATGTATGTTTATGTGAAGTTATAACCACATATAGGCAGGATCTGTATTTTGAAAAAGTTTCTCTGGTAATACTCCCTAATCACCTTGTTCTGAAAGACAGGATATTGGACATATATCACGCACCGCTGCAACCCACACAAGAGGAAAGTACTCAGGAGGCGTAGTTGGGTTTACAGTATGATCTCCCCTAACTCCCGTAAATGTTGGAAGCAATCACCTGGAAAGTTTCTGCACTGCAAATGTTGAGACTGTAAATTCTGGACTATGAGGCTCCACTGGGCCTGAGCCAGCATATTCCAAAGGGTCACAGTCAGGAACAAGGGAAGCTTCTCGTCCAGCAGACCAGTACTGCTCATCATCACACTCAGGCTCGTCATCTTCCTCCTCCCCAGAAATGCCTCTTCTGACAAAGGTAACATTTTCATATATTAGATACTAATTTCCATGCACTTCCAAGAAAAATTTAGCAAGAGTCTAAGAATTTAGTTCAAGGAGCCAGAGGACATAGGATGCTAACCATTCTTCAGTTACTGATTTAAACTTTTATTGATCTATTCATTTATATCTTGGCAATTAATATTTATCCGGCATTTATTACATGCCAGGTACTATGTTAAGTGTTTTATATGTTCTATCTCTTTAAAAGTCTTCCCACTAACCCTTAACCAGATACTACTGGAATCTCCATTTTTCAGATGATCAACTAAAACTTAGAGAAGATTAGTAATTGCCAAAGGTTATACAGTAAAGAGCAACTAGAGATTTTAACAAAGGCAGTCTGACCCCAGAGCCTATATTCTTTTTTTTTTTTTTTCAGAATAAAAACAAAAGAAAAATTGTTCTCTTTATTTCTCCAGAATTTAGCACATGTTGTGGCATCATAGATGCTTAATAAAGGTTGGTTAAAGCAACAAACGGGGGCGTGAGAACTGCAGTTAGAAATAGCATGCAATGGTTTAAAGATCGTTCTTTTGTAGAATCATAGACTTTTTTTTTCTTTTTTTTTTATTCTTATGTTAATCCCCATACATTACATCATTAGCTTTAGATGAAGTGTTCCATGATTCATTGTTTGTGCATAACACCCAGTGCTCTATGCAGAATGTGCCCTCCTCAATACCCACCACCAGGCTAACCCATCCTCTCACCCCCCTCCCCTCTAGAACCCTCCGTTTGTTTTTCAGAGTCCATCGTCTCTCATGGTTTGTCTACCCCTCCGATTTCCCCCGCTTCATTCTTCCCCTCCCGCTACCTTCTTCTTCTTTTTTTTTCTTAACATATATTGCATTATTTGTTTCAGAGGTACAGATCTGAGATTCAACAGTCTTGCACAATTCACAGCGCTTACCAGAGCCTATATTCTTAACCACAGAAGCCCTGGCTATCCTCTCTCCTCATTCATAAAAACCATCCCTCATTTTTTTGCTTTGCTGCATAACCACCTTTCCTAAATCTAAGGCAGATAAAGAGATTTGTAGATAAGATGGAGATGGAGCTGTTCATGATTGACCACCCATTAATTGTGGCAAATGCAATGAATTGCCTTCTTTGACTGAAATCACAAAGCAGAACAGTAAAAGTTGTTTCTCTTAGGCAGATGGTTATGAGAAAGTGTACCCCTAAGACTTCATCTCATCAAGTCAATATTTACTCTTACAACAATACTGCTACTGTACACTCCAAGGTTTTATTTGGAAGGCTGTCAATAAAGCAATTACTGAATCCGTTTCAGTGCTGTCTTCGGAAAAAAAGCTAAAAAGCCAATCTGTACTGCTTGCAGATATTGCAAAACAAACTTACTCTAAAACTGCTGTTGAATAGTTATTCTTGTATTTCTCTCAGCTCACTTTCAACTAATTATATTGTCACAATGGGATCAGTATTGAAAAGTACTCCCAAAGACACACAGGACCTTCCCACTGCCAATACATCTTCCTTAATATACGAATTTACTCAAATAAAATGATTTACTCAGATCCAGCATCCGCATCTTGTTCTTGGAGGTCCCGGAGAAGAGCTTTCACTTTCTCTTGGTTCTCAGAAGTCATGTGCAGGGTTTGAAGGGGCACTTTGGCTTCAGGCTTCCATTTGGGGCGTGCCTCTCCTTTTCTTACGCTACTGTTGCTAGGTCTGCAAAGGACACATTTACTTGGGACCAGCACTTTGACATTCTCCCCACAGCCCCCAAATACAGACAACACGAACTGGACTGTCAAGTATCTTACAAATGGTAACAATGAATGTGAAGAATTCCCTGTTTTCTATAGTACTGACTAGACTTCATTATCTTGCCACTGCTGAAAAAACACCTGATTAGATTCTTAATCATTAAATCTGGCTTCACTAACTCAAGAATCCTCTGGAAAAACTAATGCTATGATGACTCCTGCTGGAATAGAGGACTTTCAAAAGAAATACATTACACACAAACTATTATTTCATTCTACTTTAGGTACCCAATCTGAAAACAACGAAGGGTCTCATTTTACTTGTGAATATTAGGTCCTGCTTTTGAAATATTTACCTAAGTTATCATTATTTCCTGATTACAAAAATAATAATAATAAATACATGTTCACTGGAGAAATGTAGAAAACAGAAGTCATCCTAATTCACATCAATTCTTTTCACAGACATTTATAAATAAAATTATACAGCACATATAATCTTTTATAATTTGCTTTATTTCCTTATCAAAATAAAACTGGTATTTCTCTAAGATTAAATATTCTCCTACAACGTGTTTTTAAATGGTTATGTATAGATATAGATGCACTGGAATTTATTTCACTAATCTTTCATTGTTGGATTTTAGATTTTTTTAGGTACTCTTTTTAATATTTAAAAAAACAAATTCAAAAGTTTAACATTATTCACTAAATTTCTTTTTTTCATCTGGCATGTTTCATTATAAATTTTCACAAATCTAGGGAAATGGAAGAAACTTTTTTGTGTTTAAAATCTCAATCCACAATACTGAGACTTTGAAAAGAACCACACACGTATACTTGCAACACTGGGTAGCAAAGGAGAAAATATAATCGACTGTGGTTTTAGCCACTTAGTCACAATTTCTGAAAAGAAATGTTGCACCAAGTCTATCATTTCCTCTAACAGTTTTTTTCTTTTTTTTAAAGTAGGCTCCACGCCCACTGTGGGGCTTGAACTCATGACCCTGACATCAAGAGTCACGTGTTCTGTCAACTGAACAAGCCAGGCGCTCCTCAATAATGGAACACACACACACACAAACACAAATGGAACCTACACTTTAGAGGGTCGGTTTTAGGACTGTTTTAAAAAGTAATCTCTAGGGGCGCCTGGGTGGCTCAGTCGTTAAGCGTCTGCCTTCGCTGAGGTCATGATCCCAGGGTCCTGGGATCGAGCCCCGCATAAGGCTCCCTGCTCGGCGGGAGGCCTGCCTCTCCCTCTCCCACTCCCCCTGCTGTGTTCCCTCTCTCGCTGTGCCTCTCTCTGTCAAATAAATAAATAAATAAATAAATAAATAATCTTAAAAAAAAAAAAAAGGTAATCTCTACACCTAACGTGGGGCTCAAACTTAGAACTCCAAGATCAAGAGTGGTTTGCTCTACCAACTGAGCCAGCCAGGCAAAGAGACCTCTAACTTTTTGTTTTGAAAAAATTTAAACCTATAGAAATAAACATCTTTTACCTAGATTCACCAGTTAACATTTGCCATACATTAATGCGCAGACACATTTATGCACATCTCATCTTCTCTCTCTACACACATATATGCCTATGATATTGCCCCATTTTATGTATATATTGCTAAACCGTCTGAATGTATGCTGCAGACATCATGCAGAGATCATATTCACTCTTAAATATTTCAGCATGCCTTTTCTAAGAACAGAGATAGATTCTTACATAACCATAATACTATTATCACTCATAAGATATTTTATATTGAGGGCGCCTGGGTGGCTCAGTTGGTTAAGCGACTGCCTTCGGCTTGGGTCGTGGTCCTGGAGTCCCGGGATCGAGTCCCGCATCGGGCTCCCTGCTCGGCAGGGAGTCTGCTTCTCCCTCTGACCCTCCCCCCTC